ACGGGGTTTCACCATGTTGACCAGGATGGTCTCAATCTCTTGACCTCGTGATCCACCCGCCTTGGCCTCCCAAAGTGCTGGGATTACAGGCTTGAGCCACCGCGCCCGGCCATTTGTTCTTTTTTTAAATTTATTATTATTATTATTTGAGACAGACTCTCGTTCTGTCGCCAGGCTGGAGTGCAGTGGCGCGATCTCGGCTCACTGCAACCACCTCCTGGGTCCAAGCAATTCTCCTGCCTCAGCCTCCTGAGTAGCTGGGACTACAGGTGTGCGCCACCACACCCAGCTAATTTTTGTATTTTTAGTAGAGATAGGGTTTCACCATGTTGGTCAGGCTGGTCTCGTTAACTTGACCTCGTGATCTGCCTGCCTCAGCCTTCCAAAGTGCTGGGATTACAGGCATGAGCCACTTCACCCAGCCATTTTTTTTTTTGAGGCTAAGTCTCACTCTGTAGTCCAGGCTGGAGTGCAGTGGCGTGATCTCAGCTCACTGCAACCTTTGCTTCCTGGGTTCAAGTGATTCTCCTGCCCCAGCCTCCCAAGGAGCTGGGATTACAGTCGAATGCCACCACGCCCAGCTAATTTTTTGTATTTTTAGTAGGGACGGGGTTTCACCATGTTAGCCAGGATGGCCTTGATCTCCTGACCTTGTGATCTGCCTGCCACAGGCCCTTAAAGTGCTGGGATTGCAGGTGTGAGCCACCCCGCCCGGCCACAGGATGTGGACTGTTAAATGCAGGAAGATGTTTGCTGCCAATGTCCGCAGGGTTCAAGGCAGTAGACAAGCATGGTATAGCCTGAACTGGGCAGGAAAAGAGTGGAGGGCAAGGCCTGCGGTGCCCAAGGGGGCTTGTTGGAGGTGAGGGCATGTCACTGTAGTTTAGGAGACGAGGGTGTGTAAGGCCCTCTAATATGATCTCTGGGTTTCCAGCCTCCTGCCATCTTTCAGCCCCCAAAACCAAAAAACTCAGGCCCACGCTGAAGCTTTATCTGGGAGGGGCATTTTTATAGGACCCATAACCATTGAGGGTTAATGTCAGCCACCATAAGGGGCCTTCAGGAGCCCCTTTCTAGACCAGAGTCTCTGGGAAGCCTCACCCCACACCCCCTCCTGCTGTCCAGGGCCATCTGGGAGCTGGTCTGAGTGTCCACTGAGTCAGTTTATTTGGCAGTCTGTCTTGCTGGGTCTGCATGACAGTTTGGACATCTCTGTGTGGCTTCCTGTGGCTGAGGACTTGTCAGAGTTTCTGTAGGAGGCTCCCTGAGAGCTGTCTATGGGTCTGTGTTTGATATTTGGTGGATCTGTGGGACCGGGAGTCCAGGTGAGGGTCCGTCCTTGGGAAAACCACCCGGCATTGATCCACTCTTGTCACATCTCCAGTCCCCAGGAGGGTCCAAGTGCCAGGGTAGGGCTCAAAGGTGACGCTTCATGTGCAAGGCCAGGTGGTCAGAGCGCGAAAAAGCACGTGGGCAGAGCTGGCAGCGGAAGGGGCGCTGCCCCGTGTGCTTCCGGTAGTGGCGGGTCAGCTCGTCCGAGCGCGCGAACCTCCAGCCGCAGCCTTCCCACGTGCAGGCGTATGGCTTCTCCCCTAGGGGACGAGGAAGCCATAAGCGCCATTGTCAGCCCAGTCCTGTCCCCAGGTCCCCTGCGTCAGGCAACACCCTTTCGCTCAGCCTGGGCTGGGACTAGGATGAACAAAGCAAGGCCCCTAGGGCACAAACTTTAAGGAGGCACTCACTCTCAGAGGCCAAGGCCAAGTCCAAGTCCCGCCCTCTGCAGACCTTCTTCTGTAACTGCGTTGGGTGCCATGCCCTTTCTCTCGTCCTGGGCCCAAGCTAGGTCCCTACACTACTGGCCCCACTTTCTGTGTCCTGGTAACCCAGCTTTGCATCTGTTTTTGTTTTATTTTTTCGTACGGAGTCTCGCTCTATCGCCCACGAGGGAGTGCAGTGGCTTCATCTTGGCTCACTGCAACCTCCACCTCTTGGGTTCAAGTGATTCTTCTGCCTCAGCCTCCTGAGTAGCTGGGATTACAGGCTCATGCCACCATGCCTGGCTAATTTTTGTATTTTTAGTAGAGACAGGGTTTCCCCATGTTGCCCAGGCTGGTCTCGAACTCCTAACCTCAGGTGATTCACTTGCCTCAGCCTCTGAAAGTGCTGGGATTACAGGTGTGAGCCACTGCACCTGGCCTTTTCTGGCCTTTTTTTTTTTTTTTT